CTGGAATGAAAAGTGACAACAATCTTAATCAATTATGGCTAAATTTTTTTTTTTTTATTTCCAGGTTGGAACTCTTTATTTTTATTTATTTATTTATTTTTTTGAGAGGGCATCTCTCATATTTATTGATCAAATGGTTGTTAACAACAATAAAATTCTGTATAGGGGGGTCAATGCTCAATGTACAATCATTAACCCATCTCAAGCCTAATTCTCGTCAGTCTCCAATCTTCTGAAGCATAACGAACAAGTTCTTACATGGTGAACGAATTCTTACATAGTGAATAAATTCTTACATGGTGAACAGTACAAGGGCATTCATCACAGAAACTTTCGGTTTTGATCACGCATTATGACCTATAAACAATCAGGTCAAATATGAATATTCGTTTGATTTTTGTACTTGATTTATATGTTGATCCCACATTTCTCCTATTATTATTATTATTTTTATTTTTAATAAAATGCTGAAGTGGTAGGTAGATGCAAGATAAAGGTAGAAAACATAGTTTAGTGCTGTAAGAGGGCAAATGTAGATGATCAGATGATCAGGTGTGTGCCTATGGACTAAGTATTAATCCAGGCTAGACAAGGGCAGCAAGACATCCACGGATGCAGAAGATTTCTCTCAAAACAGGGGGGGTGAGGTTCTGAGCCTCACCTCTGTTGATCCCCAATTTCTCACCTGATGGCCCCCCTGCGACTGTGCCTGTCTTAGGTTGTTCCTCCCTTGAGGAATCTTACCCGTCTCTGGCTAACCAGTCATCTTCCGGGGCCATACAGGGAAATGTAAAGTTGGTAAGTGAGAGAGAAGCAATTATGGCTAAATATTTTAACTTTGCAAATGACCATCTGAACATATCATTAAGACCGCTAGGGGCCTATGTAAATGAGTGGGCTTGAAGTTGCATTAACTTCACAGTAAATTTATCACTGTGTTTACATCACTCATGGAAACTTGAACACTGCTTTCACATAGTAGGAAGGCAATGCATACTTTTAAAATTGAATTAATCCTACATATTTGGATATATTCTTCAAATAGATTAATTTTTACCTATTACTGTAATTGCTAAGGCCTTTCGCCAGCCCCTTATACCATCATTTACCCCAACCTCTAGCCTGGACACACACATATACCTCAAATGTCCCTTTCATTTAATGATCAAGAGGTGAATATTCAAGAAATATACCAACAGTGAAGAAAAACTAATGTTTTTGAACATGTTTTACGATTTAAACCTTCTCCACAATATTCTCTTTTTAATAGGATGTTATTCCAAGACTATTTCCCCCACCAAATTAGCATGAACCTTGCTGAGAAGCTTGACTGATCATAATCCTTTTTTCAAATCCCAAACTCCATATGTTCCCTATACTAAGTGATCACTTTATTAATATGCATGCAGGCTTTCACTGTTCCTCGCAGGAAAAGCTATTACCAATCTTAAGATTATTTTAAATCAAGATGTGGTCTTAATTTTTTAAATGCCCTTTATACATGTAAAGCTAAAGGTACATCAAAAATTTTAGACCAAAATATGAAATATTATTTTTGTCAGATGGTATTTAAAGCCCAAGGCTTCTTGAGACCATCCAGTGGTTCAAAGCTCTAATACTACTGTTAGTAATAATTCTTTGTGGCATCACAGGAAAAACAAGTTCTGATTTTGTGAAGATCTGGAATATAAGCTAAATTCCATCAATGACTACTTTCTAAAGAGTGTGTTCTTAATGCCTGTTAGGTGCATGGTGACAAACAGCACTTTGTGTATGTAGATTCTGAGGGTCTTTAACTGAATTCAACTCACTTAACAGTGTGAAAGTAAAAACTTCCTCAACCTGTGTCTTATTATGACACAAGTGCATAAACATGGAGGAAAATAAAAATTTTGAGTAAGCCACCTAATTAGAACCATAAGCCCTCCTGATTCTAAGCAAGGTATCACCTCCTGTCATCAAAGAAATACTTAATAAAATACATTGCTCACTTTAAAATCCTAATCCATAATTTAATCATTTTCTTAAGATATCTTTTTAAGAATTAATTTTTCCTCTTTCTTTATCTCCTTCAGTCCTGTATCACACTGCTTTCATGACCACATTAGTATATAACTTGAATTCAGATATAACTTGAATGCTAAATGAACAGCAGAGGGAACAGCGCCCAAATGAAAGTTATTCACTCCACTGTGAATTACAACCAAGATCCATTTCTCCACACTCAGCATAATCCTAGGCACCATCCACCATCAGCTAGACCAATGGTTCTCAAGAGAGGACGATTCTACCCCACAGGGGGCACTTGGCCAGATCTGGAGACTTTACTGTCACAACTTTGGGGGAGGAGGCAGGTGGTCACAGGCACCTCGTGGTAGAGACCAAGGACGCTGCTAAATATCCTATGTAGGCACAGGACAGCCCCCACAACAAACAATCACTCAGCCAAAAATACCAGCAGTACTGAAGTTGAGACCCTGGCCTAGACATCTGTCCCAATTCTGAGTAAAAATGCAGAACAGCTGGACCACAGGCACAATGGTGGTGTAAAAGGACCACAGGATTAGGGGAGAACAGGAACTAAAACTTACCGAGTATCTACACACACATGCCTTGTGTCAGTCACTTTACATAGATCATCTCACTTAAACCTCTATCCTGTGAAAAAAAGTAATTTATTCTCATTTTACAGATCAGAAGCTTGTACTGAGGGAGGTTAAGGAATTAACTCAAGGTCACTCAGTTACTAAGGGGAAGAATCATGAGCCAAATTCAAACAACTCTTTTCATTCCACAATACTACAAAGCCTAGTGGTTAAAAGACCTGGATTTTATTCAGAGTTACCAATGTAAATTTGAGCAAGTCACATAACTTCCCTAAAGCCCCATTTAGAAATAAACCTAAGGATAAAGTGTGAATACATAAATGCTGCTGATTGCCGAGAACGTATAACCATGTTAAACACCCTACAATGAAATAGAATTTCCTAGAATGGAAATGTCATGATTACCATTTTTTCTTAAAAGTAAGATTTACACATGTGCACAGCACCAAATTATTCAGCATTTTTAAGAATCAAAATTAAATGTTCAGAGAACACTGTGCCTTCCACAGCCACAGAACTACAGTTGAACTTTGTAGGTCCACTAATAGGCAGATTTTCAATGAATACATTAGAAAGTTTTTGGAGATTTTCAACAACTTGAAAAAAACATTCTTTTTTCTAGCTTATTTTGTTATAAGAATACAGTATAAAATACATATAACATACAAAATGTATGTTAATCCACTGTTTATGTTATCAGTAAGGCTTCTGGTCAACAGTAGGCTATTAAGTAGTTAAGTTCTGAGAAAATGAAAAGTTATACACTGGTTTTCAACTGTGCAGGAGGACTAGAACCTCTAGCCCCCTCACTGTTCAAGTGTACACTTAAATCCTGAAAGGAAATAAATTGTTGAATATAAACAATATTTTAGTATGAATTTCCTAAAGATTTTTAATCAATCAGCCCCAAAATGCTCAAGATTAAGACAACTTCCATTGGGCTTTCTCCACAATTGGTAGCAGAGCTCATGACAGAACTAAGGAAGAAGAGAATGGACTACAAATCCATTTCAGCTGCTGCAGAAAATAACTCTTATTATTCTCTCCATAAAGATAGAGTATTACATTGAGGTCATGATGTTATCACACATATCAATGATGCAAAACAATAATTCATTTCAACATAAGGTTCTCATTTTTTCAAAAACTACCACCAGAATCCATCACTCTTCAACAAGTAATCTACTAGTAGGTCCACAAACAACTTAAACTACACTTTTCCAGGATCAAGTTCAAGAAACAAAAAGTATCTTTTCATATCATATTAACACACTGTAAATAAATTATACTTGCAAGTCCAAGTTTAAAAGCAATAAACATCAAATAAACTAGAGAACATTTTAAATAATTTCAGAAGACTTGTAAGAGAACTGACATTAAAAAATAAGCATTCTAAAATTTGTTTACCAGAAACTCAAAAAAAAATTACTGTTCTGGTGTAATTGAAAGATTGTTTCATTAAATATCATTTCAGTAACTAGTTCTGAATTACATCTTTCACCTTAAACATTTTGACACTTCCATCAACTTTCTAAAAGTGAGAGTGGATTACTTTTCTGGTTTTCAATAGACTTGCCTCTCAGAAGACTGAATTAGATAAAAACTGATGGGAGAAACCTATTATCAACCGCCTCCCCCTCATCAATAGGCATTTGAGTAAGCCCTAGCAGTATGCTGATGATGAAGTCTTGAGGAATTTTCATAGGACAATGACCTAATACCCGACAACCTGTCAACTTTTTACTTCACAAGCCTATTTTTAAATCACAACAAATTTGAATGTACAGGTAAATAATAATTATAACTTTCAGGGACTAAAAATCTCTTCTTCCATTTCTCCCCAAAAAGTAGAATTCTCCTCAGAGTTCTTTATTTCCAAACAGAGGAAATACTGTCGACAAACTTTTAAAAATGCTATTAGTTGACTACTCATTCCAAAAGGTAAATTTCTGACACCAGAATTAACTATCCTTGACAAGGTCTCACGTGAACCTTTTATAACACCTAGCACATCACATATACAACCACAAGAAAACAGCCACGCATGTAAGGATGCATTCGCGGCTTACACCAAAAGGCCCACCCATACCCTTCCCAGACCAGCCGCGGGCAGCTGTCCCACGGCGGGGTGTACAATTACCAGCACTCTCGGCGGGCCCGCACCCCTGCTACCTAGGCCCGCCCGGACGCCCCCATCACAGCACTTTTGGTGCCGCTGCCGCCCCCACCCAAGCTCTGACCTACGTGGGGCCCCACCTGACCATAGGCCCGGCTCCTCCCCGGTCTCCCGTGGGAGGTGACGGTCGCGGGTAGGAGGAGCAGGGCCCGGGGATTGTGAGGGAAAGGGGGCCCCGGCGAGTGCCCTACGACGAGGACGCAGGTCGGCGGCCTCACCTGCGGCTGGTGGCGGCTCTCCGGCCTCGTTGGGCGCCAGGGTGACGGCGCCGTCCCTCCAGACGCGGATCTGCGCCGCCGAACGCAAGCGGCGGCGAGGCTGGCAGCGGCCGGCGGCCGCCGCGCGCAGGGAGCCGCAGCACTGGTAGCATACGGCCCACGCCTGCTCCTCGTTGATGGGCTGGTTGTAGAGCCGCAGTATCTCCTCCAGGCTCAGCGCGTCCTGGGGGCCCCCTGCAGCTCCGGGGTCTGGCGGCCCCTCGGCGCCCGTCGGCTGTGCTGGCTGCTCCGTGCTACCCGCCGGGCCCGGCGGCTGAGCCATCCCGCGGGTCGGCGCTGTCCTCGGCCGCCGCGCGGTGTGCGAGTGTCTCTTCAGCTCCGGAGCATCGTCCCGGCGCGCCGTGGCCTCCTCATCCTCGGAGCCGCCCCGCCCAGCTGGTCGCGCGCGCCGCCGCAGGGGACGGGCGCGGAACAAGGCGGGCTCGCAGTGGGCGAGCGGCGGGCCTCGAGACGCCGCAACAGCCCTACCAGGCCGCCGCCGCCGTCGCCGCCAGCCCGTAGCTACGCGATGGCGTCCGCCGGCCACGCCCCGCGGCCGCCGCGCGCTCTGTGCGAGGGCTGCGAGCCGCCCCGCCGGGGTCCGCGCGGCCCGCGGCTCGGGTCTGCGCTCCGGCCTACGCTCCGCCTCCGCCCGACCGCGGCGACCTGTCACCACCCCAGAGAAGAGGGGCGGTCACAGGCACTGATTCCCCCACGGAATTGGTTTGCCAGGTCTCACTAGCCTGGAGTGAATTCCTAGGGAGTGAATGGCTACAGAACCACTCGGCTTGCGGCCGCCACAAGAGCTGACCACGGCCTCCCGCCGGTCTCCGCGGCGCCCGCGCCCTCTTCAAGCTGCCGCGCCATTTCTCCTGACCAGCCCACGGCTTACGGCTCCCGGCCTCGCCCCTACTTCATTCCCCGCACCGTGCTCTCCTCTTTTTTGGGTAGCTATCGCTATCAACATCCCATATAATTTACTTAGGTGTCTTATTTATTGAATACCTCCTTCTCCATTCCCATCTTCAGTGTAAACCTCATGAGGACAAGGATTTTCCGTTTTGCCCACTGACACCTCACCAGCTCACAGATCAGGGCCTGGGATATAAGCTGGTTGTGAATAATGTGCAGGCGTTAGTTTCAGCGTCCTTCCGATTCTTCTGTAACATTAGTACAATTCCACTTAGATAATATCTCCAGTGACCACACTCAGTCATAGCCCAGTTAACCCAGTGTGTTCATGCGATGTGGAAGTGGTATCACAGTGGCAAAACAACCAAGGACAATTAGCCTTAGGGTAAAAAATACTCCTGGGCTTCGCTGAACTCATTATGTGTGGGATAAAACAGATAATTCTTTAATAAAACACTCATTGATAAATGAGTTTAATTGGTAACATTCCACTCTGAAGCTAGTCCTGTGTGAGAACCTTAGGAAGTTTAAACTATCAACCAAATAGAGATTTAACTATAGTGTCAATAAACCTATTAAGGCCATTTTATATGCAATATTAGATATCACTTCAACCATGCATCTTGCAGTAGGAATTACAACAGTCTGTCATTAATACTTGAGATACCACAGTACAGACAGCAGGAGTGGGGAGAAGAGAGAAAAGCGAAAGGATATAAAAGAGTAAGAAATTGAAAGGGGAGAAAAAAAGCTTCTCTGTAGGCACCTTATTATTATTTCACTGCAAGAGATACAAAACAGCTACTTAAAGTAACATCACTTAATTATGAGTTCATAATCATTATTTGTAAAAATGCACTATCAATGTGTGCCAAAGAGGAAAAAGGGTCTATTTTCTCTATAGATATAGACAGGATGGATTTAGACATATAGAACCTCTTGATTAAAAACGTGGAAAAACATTCCCAAGTTTTGGTATTTTAACAGTTTAGATCCTGGGTGGATTTTGAAAATACAGAGGGCTTTGAGATAGTTTCAACAATGCAGAAAAACAGCTAAATGGTCTACTCTCATAGACACTATCACCATCTTCTGGCCATAGAGGATATTGCTGCCATGTTGCACTTGGACAACTACGGCCCAACATCACTACAAGTTTGCCCTTACCTTTACCCAACAAAAGACAATTTAAATGAATCAACTGAGTAATCAATAAGCCATCCATGGCATAGGACAGTAACTAATAAATAGACAAGATAACAGGGGAAAAAGGGAGTGGAAGTAAAGAAAAGGAAACGTTACGGAAAAAACTGGAAAACCTGGACTGGATTGCTGATGGAAGAACCAAGCAGCCCTCGGAAGGTCTTGGACTGTTGAGGGTTTATTTTACACCGGCGGGCTCAGAGGGGAGTAATCTCCCAAGGTCTGAGCCATGAACAAAGGCAAGGGGAGCAATATATATCTTTCTGCTTTTGTATCTGCAACATTTCTACGTGCACAGCAAGCAAGCAAGCAAGCAAGGGGGAGTGAGTTTAGGGAGTGAGTGGCATTGCGGGAAGTGAAGGGAGGTGGGGAAACGGGAGTTTGTGCTGTCTTTGCTAAAGAAGAGAAGCAGAAGAGAGCCACCTGGACTAGATTGCTGACCTTGTAAATATTTCCCTATCATTCCCCCCTCTGATGCCCCTTTAAACACTTCATTTTAGGGGGCAGCACCTTTTTGGTTTAGAACCTTGTATTTATACTTTTAATTGCTTTGAGGTAGTATTTTTTTCCTTCTGACTTTTTCGTTGAAGTTCTGAGTACTTTGTGGAGAACACAAATAATTATGTTTTTATGCATTTGTATGGTCCTTGTGTGTTGAAATGAGTCCTTCAGACTTGGTAAGACTGCATTTAATGAAAAATACTTAGTTTTTCTTAGTTCTAATTTAATTTTATGCAGCTGAGCATTACATTTAGTCTGGCTTATTTGAGTGTGAGGATGGGTGCTAAGGGTGGAGGGCCACTGAGTGCAGCTCCCTTGGGTGATGACCATGCACTTTATAACTTTGCACAGTTAATTTGATAGAGGTAACATTATAGAGAGGTACTTTGGAAATGCAGGCTGAGACTTGAGCTCAGCTAGGAGAGACAGGTAAACACAGCAAAACAACCTACAATTACCCAATAGACAATAGAAAGGGCAACTTTTTGAGGAACAGTTCAGTCAGAGCGGGTAACACAGAGAGTTTAATGCCCAGGATGAAAGATTCCATTCCGGAAAGGACCAGGATCCACAACGCACAAGCAAGCAAGCAAGCAAGGGGGAGTGAGTTTAGGGAGTGAGCGGCTGGCAGAGCAGGAAGTGAAAGTGGGAGGGAAAGAGGAGTTTCTGCTGTCTTTGCTAAAGAAGAGAAGCAGAAGGGAGCCACCTGGACTAGATTGCTGACCTTGAAAAGATTTCCCTATCAGAAACACTCAAATTTTATCTCAAACATTATCTTTAAAAGGTGTATTCTTTAAAATTAATTCACAAGAGAGAGATCATTTTTTTCCCTTTCCTAAGTGGTAATTTTTCAAAAAGCAAACACATTTCCTCTAAGATCAGGAAGAAGACAAGGATGCCCACTCTCCCAAGTTTTATTCAACATAGTTCTGGAGGTCCTAGCCACAGCAATCAAACAACACAAAGAAATAAAAGGCATCCAGATTCATAAGGAAGAAGTTAAACTGTCACTGTCTGCAAATGACATGATGTTGTACACAGAAAACCTCAAAGAATCCACCCCAAAACTACTAGAATAACTGAATTCAGCAAAGTTGCAGGTTACAAAATCAGTACACAGAAATCTGTGGCATTCCTATACACTAATGATGAACTAGAAAAAAGAGAAATCAGGAAAACAATTCCATTCACAATTGCATCAAGAAGAATAAAATACCCAGGAATAAACCTAACCAAGGAAGTGAAAGACCTATACTCTGAAAACTACAAGACACTCATGAGAGAAATTAAAGAAGACAACAATAAATGGAAATACATGCCATGCTCATGGATAGGAAATATTAGTATTGTTAAAATGGCCATCCTGCCTAAAGCAATCTAAGATTCAATGCAGTCCCTATGAAAATTCCAACAGCATTCTTCAGTGAACTAGAACAAATAGTTCTAAAATTCATATGGAACCACAAAAGACCTCAAATAGCCAAAGCAATCCTGAGAAGGAAGAATAAACCTGGGGGGATTATGCAGCCCAAGTTCGAGCTTTACTACAAAGCCACATTAATCAGAACAATTTGGTACTGGCATAAGAACAGACCCACAGACCAGTGGAACAGAATAGAGTCCAGATATTCACCCAAACATATTTGGTCAATTAATATACGATAAAGGAGCCATAGATATACAAATGGGAAGTGACAGCATCTTCAACAACTGGTGTTGGCAAAACTGGACAGCTACATGTAAAAAAATGAAATTGAATTATTGTATAACTCCATACACAAAAATAAACTCCATATGCATCAAGGACCTGAATGTACATCATGAAACCATAAAACTCTTAGGAGAAAACATAGGCAAAAATCTCTTGAATATATACGTGAGCAGCTTTTTCCTGAATGCAGCTCCTTGGGCAAGGGAAAAAAAATAAAAAATGAACAAATGGAACTACATCAAACTAAAAAGCTTCTGTACAGTAAAGGACACCATCAGGAGAACAAAAAGGCATCCTACATTATGGGAGAATATATTCATAAATGACATATCCAACAAGGGGTTAACATACAAAATACATAACATACAAAAAGAACTCACACACCTCAACACCCAAAAAGCAAATAACCCAATTAAAATGAGCAGAGGAGCTGAACAGACAATTCTCCAAAGAAGGAATTCAGATGGCCAACAGGCACATGAAAAGATGCTCCATGTCGCTAATTATTAGGGAAATGTAAATTGAAACCACAATGAGATATCATTTCACACCAGTTAGGATGACCAACACCAAAAAGACAAGGAATAACAAATGCTGTTGAGGATGTGGAGAAAGGGGAACCCTCCTACACTGTAGGTGGGAATGTAAATATTTCAGCCATTGTGGAAAGCAGTATGGAGGTTCCTCAAAAAACTAAAAACAAAAACACCATTTGACCCAGGAATTCCACTCCAAGGAATTTACCCAAGGAAAACAAGATCCCAGATTCAAAAAGACATATGCACCCCTATGTTTATCACAGCACTATTTACAATAGCCAAGAAACAGAAGCAACCTAAGTGTCCATCAGTAGATGAATGGATAAAAAAGATGTGGCACATATACCCAGTGGAATACTATTCAGCCATAAGAAGAAAACAAATCCTACCATTTGCATCAACATGGATGGAGCTAGAGGGTATTATACTAAGTGAAATAAGCCAGGCGGGGAAATACAAGTACCTGATGATTTCACTCATTTGTGTAGTATAACAACAAAGCAAAACTGAAGGAACAAAACAGCAGCAGACTCGCAGACTCCAAGAGAGACTAGCAGTTACCAAAGGGAAGTCTGTGGGGCTGGAGGGAAAAGGGGATTAAGGAGCATTATGATTAGCACATATAATAATGTAGGGGGATCGCAGAGAAGGCAATATAGCACAGAAAAGACAAGTAGTGACTCTATAGCAT